AGGACCTGCGGAAAATGAAGTTCGCTTCAAAGTGTGACTTCCATCCCGCGTGTCCGGGGGACCGTTTGTCGTATCCCCGTGGGCGAGGGGGAGGTGCCACTTCTATTAAAGTTTGAGGCTTCCCAAGAGTTTTGCTTAACTTTGTTTGATAGTGGGCTTCGAGCCCTCCTTCCTCCCCGTCTGGCCCTCGGGGCGGGGCGAGCTGGTTAAAATGCCTGGAGGGTCACGTGCCTCATGTGCCTCGGGCCTGAAATGATAGGTTTCGGGCGGAATCTAATCCAGCCCCTTAGAAAGATTGCTGCGGCGTGGTGGGCATGATCTCGCGGTCCGCCCTCCATGTTGCCTGGGATGGACCTCCCCCTGGGACCCCCTCCCCAGCGAGCCAGCTGGTGGGGGGACGTGTTCCCCGGGCGGGGTCGCGGTCTGGAGTCTCGGGAAACGGCGCTCCGAGGCCGCGTGCCGGTTCGGCGGGCCGCCAGGGCTCAGATCCCGCGTGAGGAAAGGCCGGCCTCCGTGAAACACTTCCTGTGGGAGCGTCGTCCGTCCCCCCCCCCGGGGGACTAGGAGGCCGCGAGTCGCCCTGGGTTAGTGGCCGGGAAGCTGCATGCTTTTCATTCTTTCGGTTTTTCTGGGAGGTTTTTTCTTGGCTCACTAGGGTTTTTAAGAACGTGTTGCTGTCGGGGTGTGAGGTGTTTTTTGTTCTTTTTTTTTTAACGGTGAGGAGGCAAAGGTCCTGCCTCGAGGGGAATGATGGCAAGACAGCAGGCCACAGCTGCAGGCAGCAGGACTAGGCCAGTGCTTTGGGGTCCCGGCACCCCAGGGTTTGGGTCCTGGGAGTTGCCTCCCGGAGGGCAGGAACCAGGGGCTCCCAGCTGGACAGGGAAGCTGGCCTTTGTGCAGGGAGGGGGTGCGCGTGGCTGCCCCAGGGCCTGCCGCGGGGTCTGGGACCACCTGTCCTCGGCCAGGTGACGGGGGCCATCGTGTGCTGAGGCTGGTGGCTCCATCCACCGGGCAGGCGGGTGGCCCAGTGGGGGGCATTGCTGACTCAGTTCCCTTTCTGGACGGATGCTCCGTGAGTCACTTAGGACCTCGCTGGTTCACGGTTGCCGCGCACCAGCCCTTGGAGAGGGTTTCGCCGTGCTGTTCTAGGAGCTGGCGCGCAGCTGAGGCGCACGGGGCCTGGGGACCCTCAGGTAGCCCTGCTTCCGTCCAGCCCCCGAGGCGGGAGAAAGTCCGGTCACGCGGAGCCAGGTTGATAAGTAACCTGTGTTAATGTTATCTGTTCACTGGAGCCGAGCTGCCACCTTCCCGGGAACCTTCCATGCGTGGGACGTGGAGTCCCCTGTCTTCCCCTTGGAGCTAAAGCTCTGACCTGGGGCCTGAGAGCTGCCTTTTCTGTGGCCCCGTCCCTGCTCAGAAATGTTCCTAAGCACTTCCAGTGTTTAGAAAGCAGACAACAGCACTTGAACCTCAGTAACAACGTCAAGGGTCCCTCCTGGGGCTTTTGAAGGGGGCAGCTTTGTCCTCGGACAGGTCCAGAGGCGGGGCCTGGGGTCCTGCTGGGAGGGAGGGGGCTGGAAGACAATGGTGGCTCCTTTTCAAGTTGAGATTAGTTGGACGACGGCTCACTTCCCTGCCTGAAAGGTTCTAGTGGGGGTGGGGGTGTGCAGTCAGCAGCGAGCCACGCTGGTGGCCATGGGGAACTCCCGACACCCTAGTGGCAGGGGCTGTGGGCTTTCCCCACCCCTGGGACAGTGGGGACACCGGCAGTGCACCTGGCTAACAGCTTTCTTCTTTCTCTCTCTGCAGCATCGTCCCAGACATAGCAGTTGGTACAAAGGTAGGTACTTTTGGCTCAGCCTGAGTTTGTGCTCGTGGCCTGGGCCCATCTGCCCACGCCACCTCTGACTCCGGTGCTCCCGAGGCATCCAGGCTGCAGGCCCTGTCCTCTGCCCAGTGGGCTCACTAGCTCTTCAGAAGAAAAGGCACCTGCCCTGAAATTCAGAGCCCGTGAGAGTCCTGCTTTACGGCTCACGGGTTAGGAGGGATGTGTGCAGTGGGGTTGACGGGGGCGTCTGCCCCAGAAAGTTCTGAGTGCCCTTGGTTTGATGTGGGAAAAGTCAAGATCTGGTTATGCTCCAAGCCCTTTGTGGAGTGGGGGGTGAGATTGGAGGGGGTTTGGGGGCTCTGGGGCAGTTTGGGGCTACTTCTGATGGCGTTGTGGTTTGGGTAGTTGTTTTGAGAAATTCTGGTGTTTGTGAGCCGAGGGACACAGAGCGCTGTGTCCCTTCTGTGCGGAAGGTGTTAGTTCTCAACGCCAGTGGCAGGAAAGGTAGACGAAGGAACACAGAGTGGTCCCCACGGGAAGTTGGGGGGCCACGTGCTTCTCCCTCCCGGTTGCAGGCCAGGCATGTGCACGCGCAGGCACGTGGCCTCCGGGGGAACCCTGGGCCCGATGATCAGTAAGCACTGCCGGTCAGTTGGTCACCTCCTGGGCTCCGTGCTGGGAGGTGGGGGAGTCTCCTCGGGCCATGGCTCCTGGGCTCCCTGCAGGTGGCTCAAGTGACCTGAGCAGGCAGCCAGCTGGTTTCTGGTCAGTCGGCAGCCGTGCCTGGGCTGGGTTTCACTTTTCCCAAGTGGATTCTTGTCTTCACACGCTGCCTGTCCTGATCTTCCTGCAGATAAAACCTGTTTGTCAGGTGGTGAGAGGGGAGAGGGACTGTCGTCTGAGGGGGTTGTAACAATCCCAGAAAACGCCTGGGTTGCAGACTGTCCTCCCCTTACTGTACTGTGGGAGCCGCTTTCCAGCCGGAACAGCTCTAGCACGGCTGTTGTCGGAACGGTCTCCTTCTGGCCCTCCTGTTTCCAGGAGACCTGTGCTTCCAGAATCCCACCTGCACAGACAGAAGCTCCTGGGGGGTGCGGGCAGGGGCTTCCTGCCAGTACAGCCCCCCTGAACCTGCACCCCCCGGCCCACTGGGAGGGCAGTGTGGTTCTTCCTGGGTTTAGAAGCGGCTGTGCGGGGAGAGAGTGGCGTCCAGGTGTCAGGGATACTTGGTGTTTGGGGGAAGGAAAGGTTGTCGTGCCGTGTGCTGTCCCGCGCTGTGTCCAGTAGCAAGTACATGCTTGAGGGTTGGTTTCTCTCGAAGCTTAGTTGACTTGAGGGCTGATGCCCAGTGGCCTCCCCGAGCGTGGGGTGGGAAGAACTCTGCTGGAGGCAGTTGGGTGGTCCCTGGGCCTGGCCCAGCTGTGCCCCAGTCACAAGGCCTGTGGTGTTCCGGTGCCTGAGGTTCTGCCCTGCGAAACATCCGCGCCTCTTGAGCTGGGGGTCCGTGCGTGTCCCCGCGCTGTGTGTGTGTGTGGGGGGGGGGTCTGTGTCCTGGGAGAGGAGCAGAGTGTAAGGAGGCAAGGGAGCACGATGCCCACAGAGACGTGGATGCAGCCGCTCATGGGAGTCCCGGTCCCACCTGTTGCTGGTCCTCAGCAGGAGCCAAGATGCCCTTGTGAGGGTCGTGTGTGGCCGGCAGATGGGGGCAGGTCAGGGCCCGGGCCCCTGAGTCCCGAGGCAGGAAGGGGCTGTCCTGTGGCTCTGACGGGTAGGATGTGGACAGGCCTGCCTGGGGTCCCTGCCGGCTTTTCTCTTGGCCTCCGTGACTCGGGAGGCTTGGGGTGTGATAGGCTGCAACTGGCTGGTGGTTAACACTTCCCTTTACCGTGCCAGACCTCAGCCTGGAAGGGAGTCTGTCCTCTTCCTGAGCCACGCGGGTCCTCCCTCGGATCTGTGGACGCTGGGCTCCAGGGCTCTGGGCTGTGGGGGACCTGTGTGGGTTCCTGCCTGTCCAGGGGTTTGGGTTTGGGCACAGGCCCACATTAGCCGTCTCAGTGGCTGGGGCAGCCGGTTCCCGGTCCTTGTCCCAAAGGGCAGTTTATAAACCTCTAGCTTCCTTCGGCCGCCGTCATCAGCTGCTGGGCCGGGAGGTTCTGGAGGGTTTGGGGCACCGGGTGCTGTGCGCTCACGTTTGCAGGCAGCTCAGCAGAGGAGCGAAGACACGGTGTCCTTGAGGAGGAAGCACATGGAGAAGGGGGAGGCCCGGGGGCCCAGATGGGCTGCTCTTTCCCCTTCTGCCAGGGTAGCCGAGGCCCCGAGACCCTCTCTGGCTGCCAGTTTTGAATCCAGGGGATCTGAGGGGTTACTTGTGGTTCCTGGTGGCGCGGTCCTAAAGCCCGTGAGCCTCGAGCGGCGGGAGTGTGCGGCCGGAGCTGGGTCCTTGGGCCCGCGGGGCCCCCGACTGAGTAGTGCTGGTCCCCTGCGGTTCCTCACCTTGTGTTGGCTGGTTCTGCCCTCGGGCCTCACCTGGCAGCAGGGACGCCTCGTGGTGTCTGGACCCAGGGTCGGTCTCACGTGGTGCTGGGGGGTTGACTCCAGTACATGGAGCGCAGCACGTGGCAAGAGAGGGGCAGGTCACAAGTCCCGGGGAGCCGGGTCCCCGCCCCTCACTGCACAGCGCCGCCCACAGCACGGAGAGAGAGCAGGTAGTATTTCCGTCCGACAGCGACGAGAGCAAGGCTCAGGTTTCCTTAGACGCCTGGAAAATAGGGCAGGGCCCTGTGCCTGAGCAGGTGGCTGCAGTGCGACAAGGGGGCTTTGTTCCTCGAGTCTGCCAGCGGCCCCGTGGTCATCGAAGACGGTCCCACGGTCTTGACGTGGGCAGGGCTACAGCCGAGCTCTCTAGGACAGCCGGGCCGGGCTCAGCCCCGTGTGGCTATTGGCGCGAGGCCCTGTGTGCGCGGGAAGGTCCTGCAGAGCGTGGGGTGGACATGACGCGTGAACACGCGCCATGGGCGTTGGGCCCCCCGCCCCTGCTTTGTCGAGGAGCAGTGTGTCTTGGGGTTAGGATTGCGAGGACATCGCGGGGGAGAAATGGTCAGTTTGGGGTGCGGTCTTTTCTCAAGAGCAGGTCACACGGGTGTTGGGGAGGGTGCCTGGTCTTCTGCTCTGCTCCACACACCCCCTGTTTCTTTCAGCGGGGATCCGACGAGCTCTTCTCTGCCTGTGTCACTAACGGACCCTTTATCATGAGCAGCAACTCGGCTTCTGCAGGTAACTCTGCGCGCAGTCCCCGGTCCCTTGGCTGTGGGTGGGCAGGGGACATCGGCTGGCGGCCTCCTGGAGTCGCGGAGGAAGCTGGTTCCGGGCACAGGGTTTCTCGAGTCTGGACGGTGTTTTATGCCTTACACACCGCTTTTCCGTCAGCAAATGGGAACGACAGTAAGAAGTTCAAGGGTGACAACAGGAGTGCAGGTGTGCCCTCCAGAGTGATCCACATCCGGAAGCTTCCCAGTGACGTCACCGAGGGCGAGGTCATTTCTCTGGGGCTGCCCTTCGGGAAGGTCACCAATCTCCTGATGCTGAAAGGGAAAAATCAGGTATCTGCTGATAGCCAGGCCAGTGCCCTTCCTGGGAAGGCTCAGGAATCCGGGCCTGGCTCACACTCCTGTCCTGCCAGGCTTTCATCGAGATGAACACAGAGGAGGCCGCCAACACCATGGTCAACTACTACACGTCCGTGACCCCTGTGCTGCGCGGCCAGCCCATCTACATCCAGTTCTCCAACCACAAGGAGCTCAAGACAGACAGCTCACCCAACCAGGCGGTGCGTTGCTGGGCCTGGGGCGCGGTGGGGTGGAGTTGGGGAGAAAGTAGCCGGCCATAACTCCCCCCCTCCCCCCTCCCGCCTCCCCCCACAGCGGGCCCAGGCGGCGCTGCAGGCGGTGAACTCGGTGCAGTCGGGAAACTTGGCCCTGGCCGCCTCGGCTGCCGCGGTGGACGCGGGGATGGCCATGGCTGGCCAGAGCCCGGTGCTCCGGATCATCGTGGAGAACCTCTTCTACCCGGTGACCTTGGACGTGCTCCACCAGGTGAGGTGGCTGGGGGCGTGCGGCCGCCCCCGGTCCTGTTGCCGGCCGTGGGGTTCCCTGGGCGGAGGTCGGGACCACTCTTTTCTCTTGCAGATCTTCTCCAAGTTTGGCACGGTTCTGAAAATCATCACGTTTACCAAGAACAACCAGTTTCAAGCCCTGCTGCAGTACGCCGACCCTGTGAGCGCGCAGCACGCCAAGCTGGTGAGTAGGGTCCCCAGGATGCCTCCTCCCGGGCCAGCCCCCCGGCCCCCAGCGCCTCACGGCTTGTGTCCTTGCAGTCGCTAGACGGGCAGAACATCTACAATGCTTGCTGTACCCTCCGTATCGACTTCTCCAAGCTCACCAGCCTCAACGTCAAGTACAACAATGACAAGAGTCGTGACTACACACGCCCTGACCTGCCCTCCGGGGACAGCCAGCCTTCGCTAGACCAGACCATGGCTGCTGCCTTCGGTAAGACGCCCGGCAAGGTGCCCAGGACCACCGTGTGCCGTGGGAGGCGAGGATGTGTACGTAGCTCAGTGTCCATGCCCCAGGCACCCCGTGACGCCGACTCTGTGCCCAGGGAGGTTGGTGCCTGTTGCTCCTTAGATGGCCAGCACGGCACCCGGCCCAGACTGCCCACTGGGTGTGGGGTCACGCACACACACAGCCCTTGCTCGCGGCGGAGGTGGTGGGTGCGATGATTAGTGTCTCATTTGTTTCTAGGTGCGCCTGGTATAATGTCAGCCTCTCCGTATGCAGGAGCTGGTTTCCCTCCCACCTTTGCAATTCCTCAAGCTGCAGGTACTCAAACACTTGACCTTGGTCCCCACCGTCGATCGTGCATGCCCACACACCTTTCCAGTAGCTGTGCTTCCACGGGCAGCTGACGTGGGCTCGGTCTCGGGGGGAGCCCGCCTCCCTGGGTGCGGGTCTCTGGGTTCCCTGAGGAGCCTGGACAGGGCAGTCTTAGGACAGGGCTGTGCAGAGAATCCGCTAACTCCCGAGTCTCTGGTCTGGTTCCCTTAAAGCACCTCCCGGGCGAGGACGAGCGCGCACGGTGGTTGGAGGGATGTGTCCCTAGTAGATGAATTTAAGTGGCCCGGTAAGCAGAGCGGCATGAACCGGGGCGGGGGCACACCTGAGCGTCCTTCGCAGGGGGCCAGCCTGCCCTCCTGTGACAGGCACGGGCCTGCTGCGTCCCGCCCGGGTGTCGTCTGCATGGTGACGGGCGCCTGCATGCGCGCACGGCCGAGGCCCGTCCGGGGCTCCGTTGTGCATCCACCGAGTGGAGCTTCTGTACTGTTGGGCGCATGTAGATGGGGCCAGACCTGGCAGGCACGGTCTGTGCCACGAGGAGAGGCGGGAGGAGCCGGCAGGCCGCACAAGTGGGCACTGGCCCGAGCACGGCCGCGGCCGCCTCCTGCGTTTCCTCCTGCGTGAAG